AAAAAAGAAAGCAAGGGAAAGACAGAAAGAAAGATAGAGAAATAGAGAAACAACTATAAACGTAAACGCCCTATACACCGAATACAGTAAAATTAAATCAACCTTGGAGAGCCAAAAACAAGTCAAGAAAAGCAAAGAATAAAGAATAAAAGTAAAAGTAAAAGTAATGAATAAAAGTAGAAGTAAAGAATAAAAGTAGAAGTAAAGAATAAAAGTAGAAGTAAAGAATAAAAGTAAAAGTAAAAAGGAAAAGTAAAAGTAAAAGTAAAGAATAAAAGTAGAAGTAAAGAATAATAATAAAAGTAAAAAGAAAAGTAAATAGTAAAGGTAAAAGTAATGACAAAAAAGACAAACAAACCCAAAACCAAACACTAACCCTTCCCCTTCCCCCCTTTCTCTCCCTCCCCCCCCCAGGTCGAGAAGTCCCTCCAGCGCATCCACCGAGGTCACCGCAACGCCATGTACACGACGCAGAAGTCCATCGAGAACAAAGTCGGGAACGTGAGTGGCTGGAAGGACCTGCTGATGAGCGTGGGCTTCCGGTTCGAGCCCGCGGCCAACGGCATCCCCAGCAGTGTGTTCTTCCCGCAGAGCGACCCCGGGGAACGCCTCACCCAGTGCTCGGCCAGTCTGCAGGCGCTGTTGGGTAGGTCGGCGGCGGGTGAATGGGAGGGGGTTGGGGGATGAGGGGGGTGTAGGGGTGTGGGGATGTGGGGAGGTTCGGGGTAAGTTGTGTGTGGGGAGGGGGGAGGAGTTGGAATTGGGGACGGGGGGATGAGGGAGGCGTGGGATGGGGGAGGGAAGGGAGATGGGTACTGTGGAGGGGAATAGGAAAGGGAAGAGGGGGAGAAGGGAGAGGGATGTGGGTACCGGGAAGGGGAAGAGGGGGAGGGGGCATGGGGTCACATGTTCCTGGATTGTGGAATCGCCTGATATTTTTTTGAAGTGTAACCTTTTCTGTCATTGGTAAAATGAAATCAAAGAACAAAAGGTTAGTTGATAAACAGTTCTAATTTTATTCACCCCCCCCCCCCACACACACACATGATAAAAATGATTATAGTAAATACCAATTATAACTTAAAACTATCCCTCAAATCCAAGCTATATAAAATACACGAAACGAATACGAGAACGAAAACCCTCTCCCCCCCCTTTCCATACAGTCCACTAACCTCCTCCCCCCTTCTCTTTTAACAGGTCTCTCCCAGACATCCTTACAGGCAGTCTCGAAGCTCCTAGACTCCCCGGAATATGCAGAGGACGTCATCTCTGTCATGCGCGCTGTCATCACCCAGTTCACCGTCAAGGACCTCGAGAACGAGTCCATTGAGGTCCCGGTGCATGTCAAGCTGTGGCGGGTCAACGGCTGTCATGAACTCCTGGCGTCGTTAGGTAAGGGGGGGCGCGCAGGAAGAGTTCGCCGAGGGGGGGGATTTTGAAGCGGTGTGGGTGGGGAGGGGAGGAGGGCGTGTGCAGAGAAATGGTATTAATGATAATGATAATAATGGTAATATTAATAATAATAATAATAGTAATAGTAATAATGATAATAATAATAGTAATAGTAATAATGATAATAATAATAGTAATGATAATAATAATTTTGAAAATAATAATAATAATAATAATGATAATAGTAGTGATAATAATAATAATGGTAATAATAATAAAGATGATAATAATAATAGTAATGATAATAATAATAATGATGATTATGATGATACTGATAATAAATAATAGTAATGACAATAATAATAATGATGATTATGATGATACTGATAATAAATAATAATAATGATAGTGGTGATAAATGTGTTTTGAATGAATGAATGAGGCGAAAGGTTTGAAACGCTTTCGGAATGTTGTCGTGGCTGCGATTGGTGTGCGTGTTCGATACATCTCGTTTGGGCGTTCGAATCCGTGAAGATGTTTCGTTGCGACACTGGCTTCGACTTGATATGTGAGGGAACGATCACTTGGTATCCGGCGGTGGATCTGATAAACGTGTTTGTGACTTGATTCAGCGCAGCATGTTGCAAATTCCAGAGATGTTCCCACTGACGTCTCGGGGAAATGTCTTAGGTTCCGCCATGTAATGCGAAATTGTGAAAATGACTCTTTTAATGCGTTGTAGAGTCCTTCCTTATCATCCATAACTTTAACGATTATGTTCTATTAAGTTGGATGTTTATTATTCATCTTTTTGGATGTTTGCCATGCTTGATGTTGGATGAATGACAAGAACTCTTTATCGTTGTTGCAACGGCGGAAATACAGAGCACATTACTCAATAAACTTATTTTGTGCATAAGCTTAACGATGGTAATAATTGCATTGCATATCGTGATAGTGATTATGATATTATTAACGATCAAGGATGAATTATATAAAAAAATCAGTAATAATAATACTGATTATATTATAGTATATACTAAGAATTATGATAATCACGAAGATGGTAATGTTAACGGTGATGACAATATTGTTAATAAAAGCAATAATAATGCGCATCATCACATAAAGTGTAAGTGTCCTAGACGCTATCATTATGATAATCGTACACGAATCAGCAATAGCAAAAGCTATATTGTTGCTCTAAACACATGATGAAAAAAAAGGTGATGATCCATATCATCTGGAATTCTAGTGTATTTGTGAAAAGATATCTTGCACGTTTGTCTTGTGATTCAATATATATATATATATATATATATATATATATATATATATATATATATATATATATATATATATATATATATATATATATATATATATATATATATATATATATATACACATATGTGCGTGTGTGTGTATATTTATGCATACATATATATGTATATTGTATATGTATATATGTATGTATGTATGTATGTATTTACATATGTATATATGCGTGTGTTTATGTGTGAGTGCGTGCGTGCGTGCGTATGTGTGTGTGTGTGGGTGTATGTGTTTGCATGTGTGTGCGCATATATATGTACGCATGGATGCAAACAATTGCACATGATCTCCCTACCGATAGTTTCACAACTGTATTCCTGCCATGCCAAGCTTCCCTCCGCTCCATTAGCGAGGTTTCCGCTCATGCAGCTCCGCACTTTCAGGCTTTGACCTGATGGAGGTCGGGCGGGACGAGGTCACGCTGCGGACGGGGAAGCAGGCCAACAAGCGCAACATCCAGTTCGCTCACCAGGCCCTGCTGGCGCTCTTCGGTAAGTTGGGACGAGGTTGCAATGCCTTGGTGGGAGGGTATATATTGTCTTGGATATTGGATATATATTGTTTTGTGTGAAAGGTTTGGAGTTTTTCGTCGTGTGTGTCTGGGAAATGCTGTTGTTGCATGCGTGTCCGTGAGTCAGTTTATAGCACTTGCTTCGCTTCTATTCGAGCAGACACCCAGGAGGCCCCGAAGAGCCTGAGCGTCGACTCCAGCAGCAGCCTCGAGTCCCTGGTGAGCACCGACGACGAGGAAGAGTCCGTGGCCGCGCCGCCGCCGCCGCCCCCGCCCTCGCAGCCGCTCCTGCCGCACCGCACGGCGCCGCTGCTGCTGGGCCGCGGCGCCTTCTCCAGCTACGTTAGGAACCGCGGCGAGCCCGACGGCGCCCGCGCCTCTACCAGCGAGCAGAAGGGGCGCGAGAGCGACGCCGCCTTCACGCCCTCGCCCGTAGACCCGGGCGCAAAGTACGCCCGCGCCTTCCGCTCACCGCACGGCCCACCCAGCGACACGGGCTCACCGCAGCCGTCGCCGAGGCTGTCGCTGACGCTGGCGCACCAGAACAAGATCCGCTCCATGTACACGTCCAACTCGCCGGCCAGCGACGGCGGCGGCAAGCGCCCCGACAGCTCGTCCAGCACGAGCAGCATGACGGACTGGGAGAGCGGCCAGGCCACGGTGCGGCGCCAGCCCCTCGCCAAGCCCGTCATCGCCTCCAAGGCGCCCATCTCCGCCACGCACAGCCGCGTCAGCGACGTCAGCGCCGGCTTCATGCGCCCGCACTACGTGTCCATCAACAAGAGCAACTCGCAGGCGTCGTCGGGCTTCGAGTCGCAGAGCTCCGACTCCGACTTCGGGCCGCGCCGCACGGGCACCGTCAGGAGCGTGTACACCACGGTGGGCAGCGCGTCCACGCTCAAGCTCAGCAAGAGCGCCACCATGGACACGCTGGACCGCCTGAGCGTGCGCACGGAGGTGGGGCGCCCCGTGGTCGGCGGCGCCCGCGGCCGGCGCGACCGCAGCACCGAGCGGGAGCTGTCCGGCGACAACGCGGAGGGCCAGGCCGCAGGCGCCAGCGCCGCCGTCGTCAGCACCGCCGCCGCGGAGGCGGGCGAGACGCGGTCGGTGCAGACGCGGAAGATGCCGGAGGTGCAGCTGGACTCGTCCATCGGGAAGCTGCTGCGGCCGCGCACGAACCACGCGGCGACGATCCACGAGAACGACTCGCTGTACAACTACCGGTCGGGCGACGAGATGTCCCTGAAGATGGGTCACATGGGCCACAAGAGCATCCAGGACCACATCATCGCCACGCAGATGTCGCGCCTCAACCGCGAGATGCCCATCAGCGACGTGTACCACGAGCGCAACCTGGGCCTGGGCCTGGCGCCGCCGCTCTCCAAGCTGCTCATGTCGGCGGCGCAGCCCATCGTCGCGCCCGACCACGCAGACGCCGAGACCAAGTCGGCGTCCGAGGACAGCTTCGGCAACTTCGACAAGCTGTCCCTGGCCGACGACAACCAGCTGGCGCTGCCGCCCAAGCCCGACTTCAAGCCCAAGCCGCCGCCCATCCCGCCCAAGCGCTTCGGGCCCAAGCCGTGGGTGTCCGCGCACCCGCAGGTGGCCAGCATGGGCGTCAGCCTGGACACGTCGAGCGGCCTCCCGCAGGCGAGCGTGGCGGAGCTGAGCCGCCGCGACGAGGGCGACGGCCGCTCCATGACCGACTCGCACTACTCGGGCTACTCGCCCTCGCGCGGCGCCGGCGCCAGCAAGCCCG